ACCCTCTTTTATGATGCTCGCCAACATTAAAAAGTGATCCTCCGTTTTAAGGAATGAATTGCATGCCATTCGAAACAGAAATAATTAAGAGAATCTTTGACGATAGTTTCATCCTCTGGCCAAACCGTTTATTTTCCCAAGTGGCGCCTCGTACGTTATGCCGCTTTTGATTGGCTTTTCTCCCATCGCTTCATGTCGTCAGACCACGTACCATATGGCTAATGTTTGGCTACAGAACGAGACAAAATGAATAACATTATTCATTTTTCTTTCACTACTTTCACATTCATTAAAGGATGAAAGTGAAAGTTTTATTTTATATCCTTTGAAATTGTATCGATATATTTCAGTCAACACGTGAAAGGATAAGCCATAAGGATAAAATCATAAATGAGCTCGGAAAAAAGAGATATTTGAGTTCGGTGTATTTAATTGACTTTAAAATGAGAGAAATGAGCTCGGAAATTAATTTATACTCTGAAAATATATAAATGAGTTCGGTTAATTTTATTTTTGACGATGAAAAGAGAGAAATGAGCTCGGTAATTAATTTAAGACAATTAGTTAATGATTTTGTATAGTATATTTAACAAGAAAAAATAGTTCTGGAACAAAAAAGGTGCTAGATTACGATAGTTTATCTTTGATATTCAGCCTTTTGTTAAAGCTAATTTAACTTTCTTTGGACGGTTTTTCCCTTATTTATCCCATGTGGCTATTTTTAAAACGATTACGCATCGACAGAAAAGAAAACAGATACATGAAGTGAATAAAAGTGGAAGCTTCGTTATTCATTCTCCTTTCGTCCAAATGAAACACTACTATATATGGATAACGTTACAGAAAAGAAGAACTCTCGTTGGACGTTAGACAAACAGAATGGAAAAGTATAACGTTAGGCATTCATCTCGTCACTATACAGAACGCCTTCTACTCCGAGGATCTTCTAGAAAACCGGTTACAAAGCAAGACTTGAAGTAGAAGGACTACCGGTTTTAAGAGAGTATTAGGTCTTTAAAAAGCCATAGAACCATTAGGAAGGTATCGATTTGTAACCGGAGAAGACTCTTCTGGAATCTTTTTCATGATCCGGAAATTAATTACATTAGCTTCTACGTCAATATTTATCCATACAACCAAATTTTTATAGAACTTGACCCTAAACTAATGGTTTCATTGAAAGATGATGTGAATGATTTTGGACAAAACTGTCCAAATTTGAATCAAAATCAACTATTTGAAAATGGAAACGAATTTCAAAAAACACAAGGCGTACTTTGTTTTACATCTGACGGCGATTCGAATGACATAGGAAATAGAACTAGCTAATGCAAAAAACTAAATAGGTTTGGAAAATGACTGAAGAGCACTTTTAGGACTCTCGGCTCGAATAGCGCCTTACATCCGACTTTTAGTCTCGAAGTTTAAACTTACTTTCCTATATTCAGTCTTTTACGCTGACTATGAAAGACGTTGTTTTGAGGCTTCAAAATAGTCTGAGTTATTGTATTTTTTTAAAATTTGATTATTTTTTGAAATTTTAGGTTTTTCAAGTTTCTGTCTTAAAGTTTTTACTTTTAAAATTTGCAGTAGAAAATTTGAAAACTGTATTTTCGTAACCAACTTGGTGTGCTCTATCAAACAATGTATAAATAAGTCAAAAAAATAAGTGATCAAAGCATAGTTAAGTTTCTTTGGTAATTCTCTGCTGTACCAAACATTTGACATTTGACATTTGTCGGAAGCTGAAGGTAACTAGAAAGTAAGTCACAAAATCAAATACATAAACATGACCATACATACATTATTTTCGCATCATTAATTGATCATTGATTAGCAATTTTTGTAATAGATCTTTAACATCTCATTTTCGTGGACCTGGGCCCTAATCATTCTTATATCGAGAAGAAAAATAAAGTGGAGGAAAAATTGTAAAACAATTACCAAAACATAAAAAGAAAGTCAAGTCGCAGATTAAGGATGAAACAGTTACTGTAGAAGGGGAATCGTTTATGTAACTACGTATGCAATATACTTGTTTTATGATAAAAATCGTAATTCTATTTTTTATTATTATTGTGAATAAAAGAAGTCACACTAACGAGTTTTTAATGCGTCTTCATGAACTATTAATAGGAATTGGAGGAATTCTATTCTGATGTAGTTCTGATTATATACATATATAAAGATTGGTAACTGACGCAATACACATACAGTCAAAAACATATTTCAATAAACAATAATGTTGGTCAAAAGTTGTACACAACTCATCATTCTCAGTTTACTTCTAATTCATTTGTCAACGTTAGTTCAAAGTCAAACACTATCACCAGTTAATTGTACAACAGTTCTAGCTCCATATTTTTCATGGTTAACAACAACACATGCCGGTTATTCACGATCACTTAGCGTACAAGCATCAATGTTATTAAAAGATAAATGGGTTTCATATTATTCAGGTACATTGGCCTATTCAAAACCGACCACGACAATTTTTTTGTTAAGGTTGAATACTGTTGATAGTCTTGTTGGTACGTCACAAGTTTGGTTCAGTGATCGTTTTTACAATCCACCATGTAATACACAACTTTGTTTGGACGAGCAATTATTTTCATATAAAAGTCCCGATACACAAACAATTCAAATTTATCGTGATGGTACAATTGGATTTACATTGAATAGTTGGGGAAATACAAAATCAACAGATCAGTTACAATGTTTCACCGACGGAATTTTCTATTGTGCACCGACACAATCACAAGTATCGATGTTTATGATGTCAATTCAAATGAATGAATATGAAATACCGAGATAAGACTAGTGTGTTGTATATCGACCTTTGCATCTATCTAGTTACTGTACACAGACTCTGGAAAAGAGAACTAATTCACAAACCTGACTTAGTATTATCTAATTATTCTATATCTGACTAAACATCTTTTGGATTTTTCTAATTTTTCTTCTAATAAATAATATTATTATGAAATTTGCACATGTAATTGTAAACAAGTGAATAGATTGACTCTTGACTATGCTTTCGTGAAAGTATCACTGCAGGCCTGCACTGTAGGATACGAGTAGATGTAAACATTATCTTTTCGCTCCATACAAGACACGGCACTATTTTTGCGATTGATTCCCTATTTACCTAGCGTCGTAAAACATTAGATTCTTTCGAAAAAATGCGAAACTTCTCATCGATGGTATATCACATGATGAATTTCTACATCTGTCGATTAAGTAAAGTTATGGAGATGCATTGATTTTTAGATCAAACATAGTTTCAAACATTCCTGTTCGAACAAACCAAGATCACTCTGTGGAAAACAATAAGAATTTTACTGAATTGCTGAACATAACTTGGTTTGAATTTGTTTCCGACACTCAATGTTTTTTTTAAAAGATACACTGTGAAATACTCTACAAAATCATACCTAAGGGAAGCCGTCAATAGTTGCATCGGTGAATTTATTCACCGGATTGGATAGAGAACTGAGTTCAACTGGATTGGACAGAGAACTGAGAACAGAATTATTCAATATGCCTGAAAAAAAGAATATGGAACTATCGTATAACAGAAAGAACGTGTATGAATATATTCTTTTCTGTACTATAATTGACTTGATGTTCTTTTTCTTTCTATACACAGTATACAGAAAGAGATAACAGAAGAAATGGAAAATCGATTTATCCAAAAGAAAGATTCCCTTCACTATGAAATTAGTGTTTATACTGGCAACTTCCCAGATTAAAAAGTTAACAAATATGAAGATGCTCTTCGCCAGTTTTTCTGCCAATAGTGTAGTACACAACTTGTACTCTAAATTGCAATTTTTTGGGGAAAAGGTCTTTTTTAGTTTTTAAGTTATAGAGATCTCAACATCACAGACTAAAGCTAGTAAACTGTATGAATTTCACTTTCATTTTAGAAATTGCATGAATTTGAAATGACAAACATAACATTCTTGATCACTTTTCGGAACATCATAGTCAGCGAACCTCAACTTCAACATTTATTCTTTCCAGTAAAATCATTACAATTAAATGGATCTATTTTACTAACTTTTATGTTTGATATTGACAGCTCTGTTTCTTAAAAAGTATAAGAAACCTGTTTCTGAAAAATATATCAATGTTTCGAATTATAACTCTCTTAAAGTTTCATTTATTGTAACTGGACGTAATAGCGATGACTTATCATAGATTTACCTATTTGAGAAAAATTTCGTCTGAATTTTGCATGATAACATAATCCAGTTAAACTTGTCTTATAGTTCGCGCATTTTCTTCTAAATTAAAAAACTACACATAGTGTACATATTCTGTATATAATATTTTGTAATTTGTATGTTTTACATCATCTGTATACAGTTTTATCTATTTGGCTATAAATAATTCTCACAGGAAAATAGTCATTTTTTTATTCTTATTTCTTTATTCTCGATTTTATTCTTTATTTTTTATTCTCAATTATACAATTCACGTTTATGTCTGTAAACGTCTGTATCTCCGTAACCAAAGGAGATGAAGACCTGGACCCTGCCTAGTTTTGAAGACAAATGTTCTGGCTACCGATTGATGTTATTTGAGATTGGGCTTCATAGTGTAGTTTGGGTATGGTAAGTTTCGGATTTTGTCTCGAATGGTACACCGTGATAAACCTGATCGTGAGCCCTGATTTTCCATAGATTTACGTCCCAAAGTGTCTAGCTTCAGAATCTGAAAACCACAGGTTTCTATCGCCTTTCGTTCTCGAGTTATTTAAACAACCACCCTTATGACCCATTGCACGTAAGCCACGACCGACGTTCTTCAATCGATGTTCTCGAAACTTTTCCAAAGTAGGGGGCTTTTGTAGACCAAACATTTTAAGGAATTTTGGTAAAAGGCGCAAATCAAAAAGTTGTATCGTTGCTGAGATATTGATATTTTACGAAAAGCCCTGAAAAACGTAG